GATATAGGGAGAGAGGTAAGGGAGATATAGGGTTTGGGTTGTACTCTCTAAGAACACACACCCATTCTAGCCCATAACTTCTACATGCAACTATTTGTATACATTGACAGTCAGATCATATGTTGTCTGGTGTGCATGATTTAATCCTCATTGACTTGACTCATTCCCCTCCCCCTACCCTCATACAGGTTGATCGAGGGCTTGGTCAAGGCTTTTAATGATTAGACATCCAGTTGGAGGTTCATCAAAATGCACCTAATAAGCCATTATATTGACTCCATCACTAGAGCTGGGCTTCCAGAACACTACTCCACCCAGATGTTCGAGCACCTCCACATAGAGCACATTAAAAACCCGTACCGCGCATCCAACAAGCGCAGCGCTACCAGTCAAATTATGGATGCTGAGGTCAAGAGGCTACGCTTGGAGTCCCTGGCACCAGTGCTGGGGCCACGGAAGACCTATGACACCTCGATGGTCGAGGTGAGGATGTGCATATCAAAGTGGTTTGTATGCATTCAATGCATGCTCGTTCTTCACACTGATCACACCTAACATGCATTCTAGCTGTGATTTTGTTATGTGCAGGCGCAACGCTCAGGACAGCGTGTGTTGTCCAGAGATAGTTGGTGCCTACTCGTCCCAGCACGCCGTCGCGAGCCACCCTTCGTCATCCCACTAACTCCAGACTCAGCACGCGATGCTGAGTTCATTGTGTCGCTTGCAGCAGACCTGCCCCACCTTCGTCGGGCATTGAATGCGGCCCCTGGATGTGGGGGAACAACTATGACACTGTACATGTAAGTCTCGCTAGTACAAAAATATGTAACAATGCTAGTAATTTTGCCATGGCCCTCACTGGTTTCTGCATTCTCCTCCTCTCTGCATTCCCGCTCTTTCTGCGTTCCCCCCCACTTTTTTTTTCCATCTATCTGTATTACCAGGGCATACAATTCTCACACATATCCCCTTTAATCGAATAATTTTAACTCTCGCAAAATCCCTACAGGTGCACAATAGCGTTGCAATACCAGCTGCATTTGACGCAGAATTCAATCGGCTTCCGCATACCATCCGTGCGATGGCCCAATTTTATGGGAGGCCTTGGTACTCCAATGTTGCTGTGAAGGGAGAGACGGACGAAGGCTCGGTGGAGTGGTATGCCCAATGCCGCATAATATTCCAGCTGCGTATTGGGCGGAATCTGATGCCATATGCCTTCATAAAATATTGTCAGAGGACGGCTGTTGACGACCTGCAAACGGGCTGCATTCAACTACGCTGGGCTCCATTGGCAGACAGATACCGGGTCGTCGAAATGTCTAGCATTCTTCATGCGGTGGAGCTTGTACACACTAAGCCGGACGTAGATGCATGGCTAGTGAATAAGTTTATGTTCTAAGTAAAAATATCTTTGAGCATGCTGACTAATTTAGAAGGAAGTTTTGTTCACTAATATTGATGTGGCTTTTTTCAATAAGTCCTTTCCAAATCTATGCATGTTTAGTGGCACGTTCTACACTATACGTAGTATAACATCAACCCCACCCAAGTATAATTAGGTGTACAACCCAAGCGACGCGTATCCACAGAATTAAAATGATCAAAATTGGAGGATTGTGGTAATTTGCCGAATGATATCTGCCAAGCGTACAGAATGTGGGCAGCTAGCCGGGCTAGCCAGCCACCTGTCATCCGACTGACAGATGGCCATTGCGTGGCGGATTTGGCATTTCCGGAAAATACATTCTAGTTACCCGTCGTAAATTTCGGGGTCTCCCAAAGTTTCACAAGGCGGATCGGTTGCTGGTTCGCTTACTGACACTTTCTCCGGGGCACTTGTTTCCCTTACCAAACTCGTGCTTTACCAAGTTTGATGCTCCCATAATACTGTTCTGGCGCTTTGGAAATTGTGCCAACAAAACATTGTTGAGTGCCATCGTTTGATTCGCCGACCACCTGTGCTTTTTCGCGTCGCCCTTCCAACGATACATTAAATAGGCGGGAAAAGGTCTTACAACCAGTTCTCATCGCCTGCGACTTTTTTTCCTTTTTTTTTTCCTTTTTTTAATCGCAACCCTTGCAGAATGGAGGGCATTAAAGATACTTCGTGTTGCAGGAAACAGACTTATGGGCAACAGTCAGAGTCGCAGGTGGACACGTTGGCGCCAGGAGGACGACTGGTGCATGATCCGTCGTGCGACAACGACGGCGACCAGCTTGATGAGTACCTGGCGATGGCGACATACCTGAAGGCCCAAGGGTTCGTCCTGCCACCCAACTTCCGCAAGAAACAGAAGCAAGCGGAAATGACCACGGTGCTGGCAAACTCCTACTCGATAGCTGGTGTCAGACTGCCCACACAGTAGCTACTGCAACGCTTCCTGTTCCAGCTCCAGAAACCTCCGCCCCTCTCGATTTGACTGAGCCACTAGAACACGCGCCGATGGCGTTCCTCCTAAGAGTGTGCCGCCGACAGTCATACGGCTCACGCTTGGCCGTGCCTGTTAAGGGGCCACTGGTAAACCCTTCCCTCCCTTAGCCTATACGTTCGTAAACTACATAGTGAACTCGTCGAACCCATTGCCTCCTCACCATTTTTATCTTTTAATGATATCCATTTCCGTTTTTTGTAACTTTCCACAGCTTTTCGCAAGCAAAGTTATCATGGGTACGACCACCCCTATACCTGCAACTTTTTTAACACTAACTTTTGTCTCCACTGTTTCTTATCCGTATGGTCTTACCCTATTACCCAGAGGTCGCGCCTGCACGTACCAAGAGGCGATGGGACTGCGCTCGGAAATCGCTGATCTGAATGCAACTCTTCTCGCCACGCAAGAGCGCGGTCTCGACTTGACATTGGTGCTCGAGGCGAAGGAGGCCGAGTATCCATGTTATCCCTGCCTACGATGAGCAGAATCAGCTCGTGCTCGCTCTGCGCCAACAGCTGGTGAACACGGGCGACATGCAGAGAGCCCTGGAGTCGACAGCATTGCACCCCACGTACGATCTCAATGCGCTTCCGCGAGATGTTAACGGTTGTGTCGTCGTTCCCGCGTCTCTTGAGCAGGACCACCTTTTCGCGGTAGGTTTCAACCCATTCTCTTAACCCCATACGTAATATCTTTGACGCGTTGTTTTGTTAGTTTCTGCTTGGTTTTAAACAGCCTCGAATGCTCTCTTACTGATATCTCTGTATTTTTTTACTCATGCTGATCCCATGCTGTGCTTTCAGAAAAAGTCGTTGGAAACCTACACATACCAAACCAACTCCGCCCCAGCCTGGCTGATAAGGTTCTACCCATCATGGGCTGAGCACCGGGAAGCAATGTCTGACAAGTTCGCGGAGATGGGCGTAAGCAAGGACATCTTCTGCTACGTTATGTGCAACAACCCGGGCAAGGAGAACATTGCGATGAGGAAGATTTCGGAAAAGAGGAACAACTATAACGCTGACATCAAGCTGTACGGTCGTGAGCCTGGGGGTTGCGTGCCCGAGACGAAGTGGAAGGAGCTGGCAGAGGAGGGCGTGGCACCCACCTTCAGCAGGTCGCCGATGGAGTTGACTCTGCACCACATGCATTGTAAGTTGCATAAGCTGCTCTTGCCATATCTCCATCAGTTCGGACGCCCATGCAACATTTAACTCTTTCCTTTGCATATCCCCCCCCCCCCCCTTCCAGCCGTTTACGGCTCAAAATGGCATGTGGTGACTGGCGGCCGCTACCTCGCCAATCGCAGCTTGGAGCTCGTCCTGCTGCGCGGCTTTGGCAGCAAGAAGGCGAGCACCATCACGGTTAAAATCCCGATGGTGGGCTATGCACTGAACGTGGTGAGTACTTTTCTTTCTATGTTGTTCCAAGCTTCTCAGGTTTCAAACTGCCTAGTCTAATCTATTATGCCCTTGTTTCTCTTGTGCAGGTCGAATGGCCTCTAGCTAACGCCAGGGGCCGGCTCAATCTGTCTCTTGACACATCAGAGACGGTGAACTAGGAGAACGTCCAGGTGAAGATCCAACACGTTGTTGCTATGATCAAGGAGATGTATGACAATGGGGATGTGGCTATCTGGGAACCTGCTGCCCCTGCTGGCTTCAAAATGTCCCGTAATGTGAAGATTCTCATTGAAGGCTACGAGTCGGAGATTTTTCCTAACGGCCTGCCCACGCCAGGTGTTTAGTTGTAGGTGGTGTTATAATCACAATAGGCTCAGATGTACCTAAAATGAGAGAAATTCAGGACAGTCAGAATTCGGTCAGACAGCTTCAAAACTTGGTGGCGATCTGATCTGTGCCTCAAACGGTGATCTTTAAATTGGATCTGGAGCGCGTTGCTGTCGCCTATCAGCCGCAAGTTGAATCATAAGATTCCATGAAGATTTGACGACGCTATGGCGGTTTGACTGGTAGGAGGTACAGCAGCCACTATAGTCTTAGGAGTACAAACTTAGCAAGAAGAGTTCGAGAGGGAGATGGTTCCCAGCCTCTACATACCCCAAGAGCCGAGGTCCAGGTTGGTGGTACACCACCACAGAGTCCCCAACCATGAAGAGTCTCGAAACCAACCCTCCAAGGGGCTACCCCAAGTGAAATGTAACACTACACGAAGTAACGTTACTATTTTCACTATTTAATATTTATCCGCGTCCCTTGGGCTTGAAATCTTGAGCTCTTGTTCTTGGATCTGCAAGATAAATTCTTCTTGAGTTGATGGGGGCTTGCTGCACACACCTGCGACACGATGGACACTTCACACTCGACAAAATAGAAAAAACACATGCGACACACAAACGACGACTTGACATGCGAGTTGTAAAAACTCGCTAATGTCTTGACCGACACAAGCCACACTGTGATACACCATTCAAACATTCACACAAGCACTAGATAGCACTGACATAGACTCACAATTCATTCCATGCCATGCATGCACACACACAAACAAGGACGACAAGCCAAGTGCAAGCCATAGGATTGCACCAACAAACTCCCCCTCGGATTGTTGGCCTTAGAATCTGCTCCCCTTAGTTCAGAGCCATCCCAGCAAGCTTGCAACACTTCCAATGCTGCTGCTCAACCAGCCTCTTGGTCATCATATCAGCTGGCTGCGCCGTCGTCTTCACGTAGTGCAACTCCACTTCACCCGCGGTTACCATGCTCCTCACCCAATGCCACTTCACCTTCATGTGCTTGGTAAGGCCATGAAGAACGGGGTTCTTAGCCAATGCAATAGCACCTTGGCTATCACAGTAGAGTGGGGTAGGTCCTTGCTGCTCCTCCCCCAATTCAGCTAGCAAACGCCGCTGCCACACAACCTCTCTTATGGCACGGAAGAGTGCCATGTACTCGGACTCCACCGAGCTCAATGCTTGGTCCACTTGTTTCTTGCTCTCCCAAGCTGTTGGCCCTCCACCAACACAGCAGATGAAGCCTCCCACACTTGTCATGTCCTCTGGTTCTGATGCCCAAGATGCATCAGAGAAGGCAGTGAGAAAGAGCCTCCCGAGTTCGACTCCATCCGCCCCTTTTGACGCCTTTGTGCCGCCGTGGAGTATTGCAGTCCAACAGTTGCTGTTTGGCCAAGGTACTTGGCCACCCTCTCTCCAGCTGCTACCTGCTCTTCATTAGGGCATTGGACAACCCTAGCCAGCTGCCCGGTAGCAAAGGCTGCATCCGGCCTTGTGTGAACGGCCGCATACATGAGGCTGCCCACCAAGGAGTGAAAACGCCGCCTCTCCTCTTCACCAACACTTTCCTCCGCTGGTCCTTTCACACACTTGAACCCCGAGGGTAGAGGAGTAGCCACATGACCTTCACTCTTCCCAAAGTTTGCAGCCAAGGCCTCCAAGTACTTCTTTTGATGCACTCGCATCCACCGCTTCTCCACATCTCGCTCAATGTGAAGCCCAAGGTAGTAGTTGACGTCACCAAGGGTCTTGCACTTGAACTTGTCTTGAAGCTTCAGCGTCACCTCCTTCACAAGGTCAGAGGAGGGTGAGAATATGAGGATGTCATCCACATAAACCACCATGAAGCTCCTCTGCTCCCCCTCGCCAAGCATGAACAATGATTGATCGGCCGTTGAGGGAGTGAAGCCGATCGCCTCCAAGACTTCCCGCAGCTTGATGTACCATTGCCTAGGGGCTTGCTTGAGGCCATAGAGTGCTTTCTTCAGCTTCCACACTCTGCCACTCCCATCATTGTACCCCTCTGGCTGCTCCATGAAGGTCTCTTCCTCCAAAACGCCGTTGAGGAAGGCCGTTACTATATCCATTTGCTTCACCACCCATCCTTTGATGGCCGCCGCGGCGAAGAGGGTTCAAAGGGTTGTACCCTTCACCACAGGGGCATACACTTCATTGTAGTCCTTCTTCTCTTGCTGCTGATACCCCTTGGCTAAAAGTCATCTCTTGTAGCGCTCGATGTTGCCGTCGCCGTCGGTCTTGCGCTTGAAGAGCCACTTGGAAGAGATCGCCTTCCGCCCTGGAGGTAGGTTCACCAAGTCAAACGTGTCGTTCTCGATGATGCTCCCCATTTCTTCATCTGAGGCCTTTTTCCACTCCTTCCCATTGGGGCCCTCCCAAGCCTCCTTGGGATTTGTAGGCTCCCCCGGCATCTCCACCGGAGAGAAGTAGGCAAAGGCGCACTCCTCGCTTTCATCTTCCGCATCATCGCCTAGCATGAGAGCCGAACCGGTCAAGGTTGAGTTGGCTGGTCCTCCAAGCCGTTCATAGCTCAACCTATTAGGGGCTGAGTCCTCCTTCTCCCCCTTCCTTCCTCCTCTGCTGCAGGGACTTGAATGCTCTCATGGCGTTGCGGTAAATCTGGTCGGTTCCCACGAGCACTTGTAGCACGAGGCGGAAGTGGCGGTGCACGCTCATCACCTTGCTGCACCTCCTCCTCCTCCTCATCCCCATTCATTTGGGGAGATTGCCTCATGACTGTGCTGCTGCTACTCAGCTCCAAGGGCAGCTCCACATGCTCCAAGCCGGTCCTCTTCACCTCTCCAAGCCGCACACCAATCTTCGCTTGGTTCTCCGCCTTCCACTCCTTGTACGGTAAGTTCTCCATGAACTTGCAATCTCTGCTCACCAGGAACTTCTTTGTAAATGGGTCCCATAGAAGCCCTCCCTTGCTGTTTAGGGCCATGCCTAGGTGCACGGCCCATGTTGCCTTGGCATCAAGCTTGTTGTGCCGAAGTTTCTTAGGCACAAGTGCCATGCACATGCACCCGAACACCCGAAGCATATCCACCTTCGGCTTCCTTCCAATCCACTCCACATAGGGCACCCATTTGTCTTCTCCCACATGAGTCAAGGCTCTGTTCTTGGCCACACAAGCATGCCGCACCGCGTCTGGCCAAAAGTAATTGGGTAGAAGTCCCCGAGCCGTCTCCGTGAGTGTCCGATTCGCACGCTCGGCGATGCCGTTCATTGCAGGAGAGTAGGGCATGGTAAGAGAGTGCCTTATGCCCTGCTTCTTCAGCCAAGTTGAGAAATCCTTGCTCAGGAACTCTCCCTCATGTCAGTGCGAATCGCCTTCACAAGTCGGTCTTGTTGCCGCTCCACCATCGGCAACTAATCGGTCTTCACCGTTTCAGCTACGTCACTCTTCTTGGGCAGCACATACACCCAAGTCATGCGAGTGTAGACGTCCACAATGGTGAGGAAGTACTCAGCTCCAGCAGCTCCAAGCTTCAAGGGGCCCACCACATCCATCACCACCTCATCAAGTGGTGCCTTCGCCGTTGTCTCCGAGCTATGGAACGGGTAGCGGGTGAACTTGGCTTGCATGCATGTTGGACAGCCAAGCACCTCATTGGGCTCCCCCTTGATACGTATCCCACTGACCATCTCTTGCTTAACTATCTGCTGCAAAATGGCAATGCCACATGCCCCATTCGCCGATGCAAGGTCAGCCAATCACACTCTCCCGTAGCGGAAGTCGGGTTGGAGAAAGCGGCACTCGCAATCGTGCCCCGCAAGCTCTCTCCTTTCTCCTTCGCCGCTGCTGCTTTGCTGATCTTAGGATTCTCCTCCTCATTTCCACCACCTTTGGCTGCTGCACCACTCTCCTTGGGTTCACACGCCTTGCTGGTCTCTCCAAGGTTGCACTCCTTATAGTCACTCTTGGTGTCACTTTGTTTTCCGTGATCACCGCCACCAACCGCTTCACTCTTGGTGCTGACGCTTGCTGCCACTCTTAGGCATGGGGACCACTGGGATTGCCACATCTCATTGTAGATGTCCCTGTCCTCATGAAGGTCCCAAAGCTTCCGCTCACCAAGCCTCGCGGTATATGTTTCGGAGCCCTTCGAAGATGTGTCCATGCCAGCCTTTTGCAAACGCCGAACAGAGATCAGGTTGGCTGCAAGGTTGGGCACCCAAAGCACGTTCTTGAGGCCCACCATCTTCCCATCAGCACCCTTGAACATGGCCTTGCCCATGCCTTTCACCTCTGCTCGCTGCCCCAAAGCCGATGTAACATGCTTGACCGGCGACGGTTCGAGTTCGGTGAGCAAGTCCGCACGAGGTGTCATGCTGTAGGTGGCGCCGCTATCGATCACCCAAAAGTCCAGAGAGTGAAGGGTGACCTTTCCCACAGTTGCTGGCTCCTCAAAGCCATCCACACCTCCTGCTGCAGCTGCCGCTTGTGTGGAGACAAAGAAGAATTGGCCTGGGTATCGATCTTCACTCGAGTCCTTGTCGTAGTCTCCACCTTTCATGCTTGCCGCTTCGCCTCCACGGCCACCACGGCCTCCACGACCTCTGCCTCTTCCTCCCCTTGCTCCTCTGCCCTCTTGGCCTTGAGAAGGGGTCCATCCATCAGGCAACCTGAAGCAATCTCTCCACATGTGGCCGGTCTTGTGACAAAAGTGGCATTCGCCATCAAATCGACCGCGCCCACGCCCGTAGCCATTGTTGTTGTTGCTGCCATATCCTCCATTACCACGGCCTCCACTGAAGTTACTGCTGCCAAATCTTCCTTCTCGCCCTCTGCCCTTCCACGGCCGTGCCCACGGCCCATGCTTGCAACTCCGGCACCATCGGGACCCGCCAATTCGCGACGGCGGAAATCTTCTTGTAAGATTTCCCGCTTCACATCTTCGAGTGAGAGACGGGGCAGATCTCGATTAAGGTTGATGATGAGCGAGGACCATGAGTCCGGAAGTAAGGCTAGCAGCTTGGTCTTCTTTTGAAGGTCACTGTAGTTCAGGTCAGCTCCTTCAAGCCGTGTCAATAAGTCGAAGAATTTCTGCACTCCTTCCTCCACCGGTTCGCCTTCGTCAATTCGAAGTGCTGCCATTTGCCGCTCCAAATCCACAGCCACCGCCGCTGTTGCAGGAGCGTGTACACCCTTGAGAGCAGCCCATGCCTTTGGTCCCTTTGCTGGTTCACGCTGAAAAGGCTTGATGTGACGGATTTGGCTGCTCCCAACGCTTGCCCAAGTAGAAGGTAGCCTTGTGCGCTCTTCCGCATCCACGGGCTCTTCTCCGGGTCGTTCTCGGGGCGCTTCTCCGTTCCTTCCATCACCTCCAGCAGATCATAATGGTCAAAGATATTCTCCATCTTGAAGGACCACTCAGCAAAGTTGTCACCGTTGAACTTGTCAAGGCCAAACACTCTAGGCTCATCCCTAGAGGGTCCAAGGCTAGGTTGCACCGGAGCAACAGGTGGATCTTGGTGTTGACCTTGTGCTTGGGCGTCTTCTCTGCCTCCAACACCTCTGCCACCCCCTTCCTCAGGCCTAGGCATGGTCGAGACGGCTCCAAGGGCTCTGATACCACTTGTTATAATCACAATAGGCTCAGATGTGCCTAAAATGAGAGAAATTCAGGACAGTCAGAATTCGGTCAGACAGCTTCAAAACTTGGTGGCGATCTAATCTGTGCCTCAAACGGTGATCTTTAAATTGGATCTGGAGCGCGTTGCTGTCGCCTATCAGCCGCAAGTTGAATTATAAGATTCCATGAAGATTTGACGACGCTATGGCGGTTTGACTGGTAGGAGGTACAGCAGCCACTATAGTCTTAGGAGTACAAACTTAGCAAGAAGAGTTCGAGAGGGAGATGGTTCCCAGCCTCTACATACCCCAAGAGCCGAGGTCCAGGTTGGTGGTACACCACCACAGAGTCCCCAACCATGAAGAGTCTCGAAACCAACCCTCCAAGGGGCTACCCCAAGTGAAATGTAACACTACACGAAGTAACGTTACTATTTTCACTATTTAATATTTATCCGCGTCCCTTGGCTTGAAATCTTGAGCTCTTGTTCTTGGATCTGCAAGATAAATTCTCTTGAGTTGATGGGGGCTTGCTGCACACACCTGCGACACGATGGACACTTCA